TTTTTTTTTTTTTTTTTAATTTCACATCGGAAGCTCAGCCCCAGCTCGGCCCAGCAGCCAGGCCGGGCATGCCCCATCAGCAGCGGGAGCAAGAAGACTGCAGAGGTCAGCTGGGGAGACAGGGTGGCAGGGTCCTTGGAGCGCAGCATGGCGAGGGCAATTGCAGTGGGGACTGGGCTGGGGCAGCTGCGTCTTCCCAGGGCATGGCAAGCAGCCCCAGAGCTACGTGGTTCTGGGGCTGACTGTCACCCTGCAAGGTAGGTTGCAGGGTGGCCAGAAGGCAGAAATGGGGTGGAGATAGGCGAGTGGGGGGAGCAGGAGGCAGTCCCTTACCTTACTGAGGCTCTGCGCTGGGAGGGACCAAGCCTGGAATGGCTTGGATTGGGGTAGGTCCTCGACTTAAGACCTGCAACTCTTGGTTAATGACAGCAACGGGGACTGCCGGGATTGTGGTCACTAAGTGATGCAGTCTTGTGACATCTTGCTTTATGGCTATGTCACTTAGTGACAAAAATCCCAGTCCCAATTGTGGTCATAAGTTGAGGACTACCTGTAATTTTTAACCAAAATACCATGAACAGTGGATTATCCATGGATAAGCTAATTGTGAAAATTCAAACATACGAAAATTTTGAGGGTTGGCTCATCTGCGGGTAGCACATTTTTCACAGTATTTTGGTTAAAAATTCTAGGGTCAGCTTATCCGTGGATGAGCTTATACATGAATGCATACAGTAATTTAACAATTCTGTATATTTTGTCATTCCCTAGATAATACTAATAGAGCTATCATTATAAGGACATTATAAATATGTAGTTTAGTAATTTGAAATGAACACATTCCTAAATCTTTTGAATGTTAGATCACCCTTGCACTTCTGCAATAAAATGACAGTGTTGTAAAGAAGCCAGGAATCCATCTATGCTGTTTTAGGACTAAAAAATAGTATGTAGGTTACACGTTATGTAGCATTTGCATCACATTAGTATTCCATAAAGCTGTGTTACTACCTTAAAATTATGTAGGAAGATAAAGTAGTCTCAGGACTATAGCTAAGTTGAAGATCCTTTCTGCTACCCTACATTTTATCAGGATGATAGTAGTATACTAGCCTCTTAGTAATTTCACTGATGTTTACATGCTTGGTATCTTACCCAGTTTTGTATTAAGTTCTTCTTGTAAATGATCTTCAGCTTTTGTTTAGAAAACAGGTTATGTATTTTTATATAGCAGTGAGCATAAAAAACTGAGAATCCTCCCCCTACTTCCTATGAAATGAATAGCAGAACTAGAGACCAAGGCTAAGCACAGGAACTTCCGAGAAATTTCCTCTGTTTCATTGATCCTTGTATGCCTTAAAAGCTTTGCCTCTTTTTAAAATACAGATGTAATTATGTGTAACTAGAGATTAACATTAGCCTATGGACATGTGTATTCTTTATTACCTTAAAGTCCAGGCATTGTTGGGTCCTTAGAGATTTATGACTCATGCATTTAGTACTAAAATTTCTGACGTTTTCTGTGGACAAACATATAAAAAAGAACAGAAATGCAATCTGTTCTTTTTGTGGATTTTTAAACCCATAGCAAAGGCATGTGCCATTATATGAAACTTGACATGTCTCCTTTTCTTTCTCCCAGTAGTCTTTGAATTTTTCTAGACAAATGTTTTCAATCTGTTCTTCCAGTTGTTCAGTTAATGAAGTGTTTAGCAATCCTGACAGGATTTATGAATTTAGTATCTGGAATAACTTTTCTTCAGTGGGAAATAAAGCCTATAGAGTCCCTGTGGAGTAAGATGAAAGAAACCATATTGGCTTCCTTCAATCTCCTTTATATAACGTTATCTAACTCAATTATAGAACGTCCTGCAATAGAAATTGAACACTGAAGAGCCAACATTTGCTCATTTATCTGTTTTTGCGTCCTCCATGAGGGAGAACACGTCTCCTTTTCACATGCAGGACTGTTAAAATATTTTTTCAAGACTCAGGAGGCATTCTGCAAACTGAAAGAACTTCTGCAGTTCTCTCGAAAAGGAAGTCAATGGAGAGTAGAAGAGTTTATGGGTTGCCTCTTTCTTACGGCATGGAGCTTCTGCTTGCGAGTTCTTTCAATGTGTTTAAATCAACCTGTCAGCAAAACAGTAGACTACAGTCTGAATATGAATGAAGAATTCAGTCTAGGCTGCCATGGCCAGCTTATATGAAAAATGCCTAGTGCATTTGGAAACTATTTTCAAACAACTCTGTGTTTGTTGCTTTTGTATTATCTAGCAATCAGTGCCCATCAGACCTATCCTAAAGCTCCTGACCTATCATGAGATCTTTGTTCTTCGCTCTACATCAGTGTTTCTCAACTTCAGCAACTAAAAGATGTGTAGACTTCAACGCCCAGAATTCCCCAGCCAGCATGGCTGGCTGGGGAATTCTGGAAG